ATGTAGGTGTTCAGCACCAGACCGCAGCTAGGAGCGTCAGGCTTACTCCAGTTTTGTCAAGCCAGCCTTTGTGCCTCACTGCGAGGTTCCGAGCCTATCGGCTAAGGGTTTAGGGGTGTTTTAGAAGTCCCCCTTCTGTACTGCCTTACCGTTTTGTAATAACTGGATGAATCGTATAGACTGACGTTTACCGTACCGTTCTGTAGGATTGAGTCCCTAATCTGAAGATTGTAAATTGTATCTGCATACTGTTCTGTATGTTTATGTATGAATGTATGAAAAATCTTTTTGGCATACAGACTGTCACAGCTCAATGGACATTATTTATTTACTGTATTGGCTTCCGCCAGAGCCCTGTACTCTGTTTTACTGTATTACTGTTCTGTAGGCCTTCGGTAATCTCGGATTACTGGCCGGTTACGGTGCTAAACCCATAGGGCCGGGTTTGGGTCGTGACAATAGTATTAGAGGACTGTACTTATGCATGTACATGTACAAGAAGCTGCAAGTAGGCATTTACATTCAATCAACCTTTATATGCTAATACTACTTAACAGATAAACTTCATATTAAAAGCAATTGCCCAGAGGTGTTCCATAATACAGACAGATTTATATATATGTGCATATATATATATAATATAGAGAGAGAGAGAGAGCAAAGTGCAAAGATTTGACAAATAAACACAAACTTCGATAAAAGCAAGGCAACTTTTAGACACTTACTCTTCAAGCAACCAATAGCTTCGCCTCTGGAAATTTTCATTTCTTCTCCATGTAGCAATGCAGCACATCAACACTCCCAGCCTGAAAGGACAATTATACAAGCAAATTACTTTGGAAGTGTTAATAAAAATTACAAAATGAACTATTCATTATATCATATAGTACAAAATTCTTGAAAGTCACAAACTTCTGTTTGATGTAGACAAAATCAACTTAAAAAATAAAAATTGCCTTCAACAAGCATCATTCTTTCGCACAAACCTTAAGCCTCTCATGAGCTTCCTTCACTGTCTTTCCATCTTTCTTCTTCCTCCAGTTATGGCCATCTTTTCCTAAGTATCTCATGATATTCCCATTTGTAACCTCTTTTTCAAATTCAATGATCATTTCCTAAGCTCTGCACCTAGGTAAGCAAAGATGAATTATTGGATTTTAGCAGCACAAGGGTGGCTCTTCTTCTTCCACAGCAGAATCTTATCATCTTCTGCCACCATCCAGGGTTGTTTAGCGCCCTGAACTCCATTAACCAATCATCAATTCAATAGAGATGTAAGTGCCATTACATCACAAGTATTGCCTCAATGGCTAAAACACAAATTGCTTCAAGGGAGACACAGAGAGAGAGAGTGAGAACAAACTCATGCTACCAAAACCAGCTCACATATAGAGAAAACAGTTACACGTTATATGCAATTAACAATGCAATGTGAGACAAAATAAGAATAGTACAGACTCAATTACCTTTCCTTGCCGAATGATTCTTGGGAGACTCCCAGTCATATCAACTACAGTGGACAGATCAGCCACTCTAACACCTGCATCAATGACAAAATCAAGACCCTGAGATAGATAAAATAGAGCAAGTCAAGTAAGACACATTAGTGCACAAAAAAGTAAATTTTCTTTGTGAGTTGAGAAATTGTTGAATAACATACGTATAGAACTCATCTCTGCTGTTTTTTCCCTTATCATTTGAAAGCACAACCCTGTACCTTGTTAGACAGCATTATTATTTGAATAAGATAAAGTCATTAGGAAATGAAATTATGGAACAAACAATAGCTTAGGTCATATTGTTGACGTGATCCTTAACAAAGTAGACATTGATCCAGGTTGAAAGTGCCAAAAAGACAATAAGGCGGCCAAATAACATTGCTTTGAGGCCATTAGAAACTGTTAGAGCTGATTAAAAAAAAACAGGTCCATGTAGCAAAAAAAATAAAGGCAACAGATTCATTTGGTTTGGTGAGCACTCAATTTAAAAATTACACTATTATTTCATACTTTTTAACCAGAAACATGACCCACATACTAAAAACCTCAGTGTATGACCTGCAAACATGTTTCCTGATAATTTCCAATAAGGCACATATACAGATAAACCCAATCAAATAGATCTATAATATTCATGTATTCCTGTATAAAATGTCAAATAGTCTCATGCAACCAAGCTGTCTTCAAGAAGTACCAGCTCAATAATGTTTCGCTTCTCCTTCAGCCATAGACTATTCTTCAAACTCTACCAATGGGTTTCCTTTCTCATTTGAGATTCAGGTGCAGATTTTTCTTTTTAATTTTATTTTTGAAACAAAAAGAAAACACAGATGGCTGTGGAAACTTCTTCAAAAATAAAGTGTCAAGATCCAATAAAGCTTATAGAACTTTATTAAATAATTTAAGTAATGCACTCAAGAAGTGGTAATTGCCTTGTTACTTTTCAAATTTTTAATTTAAAGCTGAAAACTTTGGCTTTATAAAACTTTAAATTTTTTTTTTTTATTTAACATATCTTGTACCTGGTGGTGTCACTAATTTTAGTAGATTACAAGAAATTCGCTAAATCCCAAAAATGAGATTTGAGAAATAGTCAAGTTCTGAAAATCTTTATACATCTGAAAACATTATTTTGATCATTTTCCTATTTATTTAGGATCATGCCTCCATATCGGCCGGAAATTCAGATCACAAGTACCTGGTATGTATGTTGTTATTAACAAAAACATTAATAGCTTGCAAAAAAACAAATGCCGTAGAATGTACTACTACGACATGCATGTAATGCATACCGTTAAACATGATTCGCGTAAAAAGTTAATTTTGTTGTAGTGGCTCACAAACAAAAGCCAAAATATCCCCACAATTTATCACTTTGATAAATTTCTCGATATCATTACCAGTACCAAATGATCATTCACTAACACAAATCGCATCAAAAAAGTCTTCAAAATTTCTCATTATCAAAAATGATTGGCAAATCTATCTACTACCATTTCATATGGTATTACCAAACCATAGTTTCTCGCTACACTACTGTTTCCCGCTTTCTAATTCCCTTTGAGCAGCTATGTAGCAAACTTTAACACATAATAATCTTATGATTGAGGTGCTCCTCATAATCTCATACTAAATTTCTTATAATTATAATTTTTACTTGCACCTTCCAAAACGAGTGCATCTGAGCAGATGCATAGGACACAAGTTTCACAACAAATTTGCACCAACACAAGATCATCTCATTTACACTGCTGTTACGTATTATACACAAAATTCACGTATAAACAATTCGACTCGAAATTGAATCAATCAATTGCATATAAATGCAAAACATTCCTTTTCATTAGATCTACACACTACAAAGTCCAGAACCGACAAGCAAAACGAGCAACTCATAATTTCAAAAGTCTGTAGTCAATTTTCTCTATGAATCTAAGAAGTTCGAGAGAAAACATACAAAAGCAAATTCAAAGCACTAACCCTTTATTTGTCAAGTTCGTTATGAGACAAAACTCAATAAACCCACTAAAGATGTTGATTTCTTTTAGAGCCGACATTGATTGGTTGGAAAGTATTCATACGAAAGCTAGTGAGAGAGAACAATGAGAAATGCATGCAGGTGAGAGAAAGAGAGTGAAACGAAAATTGTGTGAACGAAATCATAGAAAGAGTTCACATATTGAAATTGATGAGTGTTTGTTAGTGTGGTGGATATATTTTCTAAGTACCAACACGTGGCCAAGGTGACGCGACGTTGTCAGCCGAGGTGCCACGTGTCCTGGTTGTTATGCTGAGGTCATCTCGGATAGGCCGAGGTTACCTCCAAAGATATCAGAATCTGAGATAAGCGGATGAGGGCAAGAGTCCTAGATATGAAGAGAAGAGACTTCCAAGTTGTATAGTACAGATAAGACTCTTAGAGAGAGTTATCCTGAGTCTTTAAGCGGAGTTCCAAGATTAGCACTTAGCAGTAATCCTGAGTCCATAGAAGTAGGCTCTTATTGGGACTAGGTTTCATGTTGCTATAAAAGCAGCAGCCACCCATGGTTTGTCAGGTCAGCCAGGGTCATCTATTCTGCGCTTCAGTGACTCCCAGCGGTCTACTATGCAGCGGCAGTCTTGGTGTCAGAAATATCACCTCACACAATTTGGCAAGCCTGATTACGTCGTGGGACAAGCAACATAGGCAAGAATAGTCGTTCTATGAATAATAAAAGTTACAATAATGCGCAGCCAATGAAAGAAAGAAGAATAGAATGACCAATATACGGACAATAAGATCAGATGGTGACAAATAGCTTCTGCTGGAAAGGGATCGAAGCACTATCAACCTCTGACTGTGTAGGGACTTCACGACCGACACAAGAAACCTCGGTGACCAGCAAGTCACGAGGAAATCTCCTATGTATAAGAGCTGAAATGCACCAAGTACCAAACAGATCGAAGTTGTAACTGATACTACACGAAGTTGATAGCTCGCTGGTATGGAAGGTGATATAGATTGTCTGTTACCCCGTACAGATAGTGACGCCAGATTTTCAGTGCGAATACCACTGCAGCAAGTTCCAGATCATGGGTCCAATACGTGGAGTATATACAAGGTTCAAGAGATAGTGGTCCACTAAGTGGCGGAACGGTAATTAAATCAAACTATGCGATTAATGCTTATTTAATCTAATTTAATCATACCTAATCAATTTTCAGATAATTATACTATAAAATCACATTAATTCTAAGGATCATAGAACACTAATCGGTTTCGGATTCGGCCGCCGATAAGGCCTTCAATTAGCAGTTTAAACATATGAACATGAACAGATAAAATGCAATTCAAACAGAAGTATTCATTCCATTCAGTCTCAATTTCGGTCAGTCAGTTCAGTACTTTTAATCAGTTCAATTATCAGTCATGATTAATTCAGTTTCACGGTAAACAGCGTTTATCAGTAACTAATCAGTCATTAATCGGTAAACAGTATGAGGGTTGTTACACTTCTCCATGTAGCAATGCAGCACATCAACACTCCCAGCCTGAAAGGACATTATACAAGCAAATTACTTTGGAAGTGTAATAAAAATATACAACATGAACTATTCATTATATCATATAGTACAAAATTCCTGAAAGTCACAAACTTCTGTTTGATGTAGACAAAATCAACTTAAAAAATAAAAATTGCCTTCAACAAGCATCATTCTTTCGCACAAACCTTAAGCCTCTCATGAGCTTCCTTCACTGTCTTTCCATCTTTCTTCTTCCTCCAGTTATGGCCATCTTTTCCTAAGTATCTCATGATATTCCCATTTGTAACCTCTTTTCAAATTCAATGATCATTTCCTAAGCTCTGCACCTAGGTAAGCAAAGATGAATTATTGGATTTTAAGCAGCACAAGGGTGGGCTCTTCTTCTTCCACAGCAGAATCTTTATCATCTTCTGCCACCATCCAGGGTTGTTTAGGCCCCTGAACTCCATTAACCAATCATCAAATTCAATAGAGATGTAAGTGCCATTACATCACAAGTATTGCCTCAATGGCTAAAAACACAATTGCTTCAAGGGAGACACAGAGAGAGAGAGTGAGAACAAACTCATGCTACCAAAACTAGCAACAGTTACACGTTATATGCAATTAAACAATGCAATGTGAGACAAAATAAGAATAGTACAGACTCAATTACCTTTCCTTGCCGAATGATTCTTGGGAGACTCCCAGTCATATCAACTACAGTGGACAGATCAGCCACTCTAACACCTGCATCAATGACAAAATCAAGACCCTGAGATAGATAAAATAGAGCAAGTCAAGTAAGACACATTAGTGCACAAAAAAGTAAATTTTCTTTGTGAGTTGAGAAATTGTTGAATAACATACGTAATAGAACTCATTCTGCTGTTTTTCCCTTATCATTTGAAAGCACAACCCTGTACCTTGTTAGACAGCATTATTATTTGAATAAGATAAAGTCATTAGGAAATGAAATTATGGAACAAACAATAGCTTTAGGTCATATTTGTGACGTGATCCTTAACAAAGTAGACATTGATCCAGGTTGAAAGTGCCAAAAAGACAATAAGGCGGCCAAAATAACATTGCTTTGAGGCCATTAGAAACTGTTAGAGTTGATTAAAAAAAAACAGGTCCATGTAGCAAAAAAAATAAAGGCAACAGATTCATTTGGTTTGGTGAGCACTCAATTTAAAAATTACACTATTATTTCATACTTTTTAACCAGAAACATGACCCACATACTAAAAACCTCAGTGTATGACCTGATAAACATGTTCCTGATAATTTCCAATAAGGCACATATACAGATAAACCTAATCAAATAGATCTATAATAATTCATGTATTCCTGTATAAAAATGTCAAATAGTCCCATACAACCAAGCTGTCTTCAAGAAAGTACCAGCTCAATAATGTTTCGCTTCTCCTTCAGCCATAGACTATTCTTCAAACTCTACCAATGGGTTTCCTTTCTCATTTGAGATTCAGGTGCAGATTTTTCTTTTTAATTTTATTTTTGAAACAAAAAGAAAACACAGATGGCTGTGGAAACTTCTTCAAAAATAGAAGTGTCAAGATCCAATAAAGCTTTATAGAACTTTATTAACTAATTTAAGTAATGCACTCAAGAAGTGGGTAATTGCTCTGTTACTTTTCAAATTTTTAATTTAAAGCTGAAACTTTGGCTTTATAAAACTTTTAAATTTTTTTTTTTTTATTTAACTATCTTGTACCTGGTGGTGTCACTAATTTTAGTAGATTACAAGAAATTCGCTAAATCCCAAAAATGAGATTTGAGAAATAGTCAAGTTCTGAAAATCTTTATACATCTGAAAACATTATTTTGATCATTTTCCTATTTATTTAGGATCATGCCTCCATATCGGGCCGGAAATTCAGATCACAAGTACATGGTATGTATGTTGTTATTAACAAAACATTAATAGCTTGCAAAAAACAAATGCCGTAGAATGTACTAACTACGACATGCATGTAATGCATACCGTAAACATGATGCCGTAAAAAGTTAATTTTGTTGTAGTGGCTCACAAACAAAAGCCAAAATATCCCCAACATTTATCACTTTGATAAATTTCTCGATATCATTACCAGTACCAAATGATCATTCCACTAACACAAATCGCATCAAAAAAGTCTTCAAAATTTCTCATTATCAAAATGATTGGCAAATACCTATCTACTACCATTTCATATGGTATTACCAAACCATAGTTCTCGCTACACTACTGTTTCCCGCTTCTAATTCCCTTTTGAGCAGCTATGTAGCAAACTTTAACACATAATAATCTTATGATTGAGGTGCTCCTCATAATCTCATACTAAATTTCTTATAATTATAATTTTACTTGCACCTTCCAAAAACGAGTGCATCTGAGCAGATGCATAGGACACAAGTTTCACAACAAATTTGCACCAACACCAAGATCATCTCATTTACACTGCTGTATACGTATTATACACAAAATTCACGTATAACAATTCGACTCGAAATTGAATCAATCAATTGCATATAAATGCAAAACATTCCTTTTCATTAGATCTACACACTACAAAGTCCAGAACCGACAAACAAAATGAGCAACTCTATAATTTCAAAAGTCTGTAGTCAATTTCTCTATGAATCTAAGAAGTTCGAAGAAACATACAAAGCAAATTCAAAGCACTAACCTTTACTTGTCAAGTTCGTATGAGACAAAACTCAATAAAACCCACTAAAGGTGTTGATTTTTAGAGCCGACATTGATGGTTGGAAAGTATCATACGAAAGCTAGTGAGAGAGAACAATGAGAAATGCATGCAGGTGAGAAAGAGAGTGAAACGAAAATCTGGTGAACAGAAATCATAGAAAGAGTTCACATATGAAATTGATGAGTGTTTGTTAGTGTGGGGATATATTTTCTAAGTACCAACACGTGGCCAAGGTGACGCCGACGTGTCAGCCGAGGTGCCACGTGTCCTGGTTGTTATGCTGAGGTCATCTCGGATAGGCCGAGGTTACCTCCAAAGATATCGGAATCTGAGATAAGCGGATGAGGGGCAAGAGTCCTAGAATGAGAGAAGACTTCAATTTGTATTAAGATAAGACTCTTAGAGAGTTTATCCTAATCTTACAGGGAGTCCAAGATTAGCAGTAATCCTGAGTCCATAGAAGTTAGGCTTCTATTGGGACTAAGTTTATGTTGGCTATAAAAGAAAGGCACCCCCATGGGTTTAAGGTCAACCAGGTGTCATCTATTCTGCCGGTGCTCTCCAGCTGGTTACTATGTGGGCAGTGTGGTCAGAAAATCACTCACACAATTTGGCGCCGTCTGTGGGAAAGAAAGAAGAATAGATGGCCAATGAAAGAAAGAAGAATAGATGGCCAATAACGGACAGAAGGATCAGATTGGAGACAATGCTTCTGCTGGAAGTGGGAGACCTATCAACCTCGACGTTGAAGGGGACGACCGCAACACAGAAACTCGTGACCAGAGTCACGGAGTGAAAGACGCCGGCCAGAAAGGTGATGCACCAAAGACAACAGATCGAAGCGGATACTACAACGAAGATGACCTCCAGGTATGGAAGGATAGACACCTACGGAGGAACGAAGACCCTTCTAGAAATGATGCAAAGACAGGGGGCATGAGCGCTCCCAAGGAGATAACATTCAAGTATAGAAGAACTCATCCTAAGTGAGCAGATCCCGGATTCCAGATCCTGGATCCCGGATCTTAGAAGACATGATCTAGATGAGTAAGTCCGAGAAGAGAAGAGCTCAACCTGAGTGAGCAGATCCAAGATTCTAACAGACAAGATCTCGGCACTTAAGTCCGAGAAGAGAAGAGCCCAGTGAGCAGATCTCAGATCCCAGAAGATAAAAAAAAAAAGAAAACACACAAGGTTGGACTGCAGTTAGCCAGGTTGAAGACCTTTTATAAGGTTCGCAAAGGAGTATGTGGAAGCCATGCAGGGGGCAGAGAGAAGAAGAATATGTTTATCACTTGTTGAAATTTGTAGCAATTTACAAGTTCGTTAAACCGATATGATGTTTACCACTTGTTGAATTTCTGTGTGAATTTACAAGTTGAAGTTAAACCAGATGATATTTAACACTTGTTGAAATTCTGTGTGAATTTACAAGTTGAAGTTAAACCAAGATGATGTTTAACACTTGTTGAAATTCTGTGTGAATTTACAAGTTGAAGTTAAACCAAGGTCGTATCGGAAGAAAGATTGGTTTAAACACTTTTTGAAATTCTGTGTGAATTTACAAGTTATAGTTAAATTGAGGTCGTATCGAAAGGAAGATGGTTTAACACTTGTTGAAATTTTGAGAAAAATTTACAAGCTGAAGTTAAGCCGAGGTTATGATAAGAATGATGGTCAAAACACTTGTTAAAATTTTTGAGAAAAATTTACAAGTTAAAGTCAAGCTCAAGCAATATCTGCGTACTTGCCGAGACTACCAAGTTGTCAAAACTTGAAATACGGAAAACTGAAGTCTTGATAGAAGACATTGAGAAAGTGACAAGTCCTAAGCAACACTTGTGAAAATATTTGTTACAATATTTTCAAGTGTTAGGACAAGGCCGAGATGAGCAAAATTAGAAGTTGTGACAGAGGTATTTTACCCGAAGAGATTGCACAGTCAAGGTTTACTTTGAAGACATGCAAATTATTCTAAGTGTAGAATCATACAAAAGTAGAAAAAAGAAGACATTCATTCAAAGAAGAAATTAAAGAAATACATTTAAAGAAGAAAGAAGGCACTTCCGCCTGAATATTGAAAAATAAATTATTCAGAATACAAAAATGGCACATCGGCCGGATTAAAAACATACAAAGAAGGACAAAGTACAAAGTACAAGGTACAAGGTACAAGGTACAAAGAGTAAAAGAAGGAAACAAAACTACTCGACATCAATGGCAGGATATAGAAGACAGTTGGAAAGACTTCTCAGCAGCCTTCTCGGCCTCGAGCTCAGCATCGATCTCCCGAAAAGTTTGATCAAAGCTCTTTTCGGGGATTGGCACCTCGGAGTTTGAAGGCAAGGATTGAAAGCAAGAATCTGGAAAAAGACACAGAAAACAGAAACAAGAATGTAATTCGTAATCAAGAATGGTGATGAAGCTATCAGGAAATCAAGACAAAAAGATTACACAGGTGTGTCAAGCCAAGAACAGTGGCGGAAATCAACAGATGTGTGAATAGTGTGTATTCAAGAAGATGATTTGGAAACAATGGGTAAAACAACAATGGTGATTAACAATGAAGCAGACCTTCTTGGAAAGCAACAAGAAATAAAACCAGGAGGAACAGTGGCTTACCAGAAAGAGGGAAGCCGGAATGAGAATTGCCGAAGTCTGACGACGGATGCGAAAATGACAAAATGACGTAAGCTTCACCGGAGGAGAGGAACGAAAATAGTTGCAGAGCTTGAAAGCTTGGAACAATGACGGATTTAACCAAAAGAGCTAGAAAGAGAAAAAGTCAGAGGATTGAATGAAAAAAGAGAAAAATCAGAGTCAAGAAGACGACAAAGTTCAAGAATAAAGCCAAGTGCACAGGCACTAAGTAAGTATGTGAAGAACAAGAAAGTAATGACCCAGACACGATGCTAGCAACAGAAAGCAGATATGGAAAGAACAGTGCCAGGCGTTCAAACAATTCAAAACTTGAAAACAGACGAAAATAGAAGACAACAAAGGGCAAGTAAACGGATTCAGAAGAGTTATGAAAGATTGAGCTTAATAAAAGAGTTTATGAACCTACCAAGAAAAATGAGCGCTGATATGAAGATCGCTGGAGACAAATAGATGACTGGAAGTCGGGAATCCACCGAAGAATGTGAGTGGGACAGTTGCAAAGCTCTTGGAGTTTACGAATTAATGGAACAAGAACCTCGACTAGGAGGTATGATCTCGAGCAGCTTGGAAAGCATGAAGCTTGATACTTGATAGAAGTGGACAGTAAAGTCCAGGGAACTTTGAGGTTGGCGAGTTTGATCTCGAACAGAGGGGCACAGATGAACGAACAGTGTAGGTTCCATCACCTCAGAATGCCAAGGTAATAGAACCTAGGGGGCAGTTGTGGGGATATATTTTCTGAGTACCAACACGTGGCCAAGGTGACGCCGACGTGTCAGTCGAGGTGCCACGTATCTTGGTTGTTATGCCGAGGTCATCTCGGATAGGCCAAGGTTAC